GGAGCTTCCCCAGGGACCCCATCTCTGCTCACACTCTTCTGCTGTACCTGCCCTGGGGCCACCCCAGCTTCCTCCCTCCTCCCACCTGAGGCCTGGTGACAGGGACGTGGGAAGGGCAGGGTGGGAAGGCCCTGTTTCCCTCCGTCCCTCTGAAGGGCGAATCCCTCCTGGGTTGACCCTCCTTTGGAGCCCCCCTCACTCCCATCCTCGAAAGGGGGTCTCCTTCAGAGCTGACCATCGGCACACAGAGAGGACAAGGCTGGGGCCCCTCACCTGAGACCGGGAGCTTCAGGGGGTTACTGGGCTGTGACAGCAGGTAGGGGTCACTGCTGAGTGAGCTGTAGCACCTGTAGGTCCCCCAGTGGGCTGCGGTCACAGGACTCAGGGAGAATTCGGCCCGGTACTGCCCACCTTGGGACTTTGATTTAAGAAGCAGTGGGGGATGGGCTGCCCCCTCCTTGAACAGAAGGAAGGTGTCTCTGTAGAGCCTTGACTGACACAGCAGGGTCACACTCGGTCCTGAGGCCACCGTGGGGCCCGGCTGCACCGAGAGGGAGGGGGTGTCACGCAGCCATCCTAGAGAGAGAAGGGGGTGTGAGGGGCTGCCGGCCCACCTGGTTCTGAGCTGAGACTCAGCGCCTGTCGGAGGACCCTCATCTCCTGCCCATACCGTGTCTCTCCCTGCCTCTCCCTCCCTGGGGACCCCACCCCCTGATCCAGCATCACCCCTGGGGCTCCCCCAGCAGGGCCTGTGCAGTTTCTGGGTCCCTGACTGACCCGCTGGCTCCTCACCTGACATCCGCAGCACTAGGGGGTCACTGCGCTCTGACCAGCCAGTGCGGCTGTGATAGTAACAGCGGTATCTCCCTGTGTTGTTCTCTTTCATGTGTGGGATGGAGAACTTGGCCTTGTGCCCGGGCTCCAGTGGGGGCTGTGTGTCCCAGGGGCGTTGGCTTCCCTCTTTATGCAGACGGAACTCCCGGGCCCCCAGGGTCCCCTGACACCAGATTGTCACGGGCCTCCACCAGGGGATCACAGAGCCTGGCTCAGCCCAGATGGTGGGTTTGGGGAGGGTCCCTGGAAGGAAATCAGAGCTGAGGTCACAAGACATTCCCCTTCCCCCATCCCCCAGCTCTCAGCCCCACAGCCCCCAGCCTCCCCGTCCTTCAGCCCAGAGCTGCTGTTCCCCACCCCCGTTGCCAGGGGAGGGGCTGGCCCGTCCCCACAATGAGGAGGGGGGAGCGGGGACACCTGGGCACAGACTCACCTGCCTGCACCTGGGTCCTCACGCCCACACTCAGCCCTGGAAGAGAGGTCCCTGTGAGAGAGTCGCCCTGAACCCTGAGCAGAACCGCCCCTCCCCCGACCATCCTGAGCCGTGGGGTCTCCTGACAGAGCAGGCCTGGCTGTGGGAGGGTCCCTCCCCGACCAGGACCGCCCTCCCCTCCTCAATCTCACCGAGACAGAGCAGGGCCGTGAGCGTGGGGGTCATGGCGCCTCCTCCCTGTGGTGCAGGCTGTGCAGATGGAGGAAACACGGTGCCCTCAGCACGGAGACCCACAGGGTGTGTCCGCGGGGAGGCTGGTTTTCCCGTCAAGGGGCTGTCACATCAGCAGCCCCACGGGAAGGGAACCAGCCCCTCCCCGGGAGACAAGCCCTCCTCTCCTCAGGGCTGGGGCGGGCAGCAGGCCTCTGCACATGTTCTGACCACATCTGAGGCCTGGCTTGACCCATCAGCTGCTGACTTCCTGGCCTGAAGCCCTTTTACATCCAGGCATCAACACATACATACTGGATGTTTGCCGTGTGCCTGGAGGGACATCCCTGGACGTAAGAGATTCAAACCCTGCGCTTGAGAGATCAGATTAGGGGAAAAAAAAATCTGTCTTTATTGTTTCCTGTTTCTGTTGCACCGGTACCGCCGGCCGGTGGGGTAAAGCCACGCAAAGTTACTACCTTGCAGTTCTGGAGGGCAGAAGTCCAAGCTGGAAACCCCTGGATTAAAACCGACTTGCCTTCAGGCTGTGTTCCTCCTGAGGGCTTCGGGGAGGAATCCGTTCCCTTGCCTTTCAAACTTCCACAGGCTGCCGTGTCCCATGGCTTCTCCCCCCAACCTCCGTCTTCAGAGCACATCTCTCTAACCACTGCTTTCAACGTACATGCTCTTTGGCTCTGACTCCTCTGACTCCCTCTTTGTCTTATAAGGTGGTAACACAAGATACCTCCTGGATAAACTAGGGCGTCTCCCCATCTCCAGAGCCTCAGCTTACTCACATCTGCAAAGTCCCTTTGCCATGCGAGGTGACACGTTCTCAGAGTCCGAGGACTGGATGTGCACGTCTTTACGGGGTCATTATTCTGCTTACTGCTTGCCTTCAGGAACTTGGTGACCACATCCCATGTAAACCACTTCCATCTGAAGACGGGGTGCTGCTGGGGAGACCTGTGTCAGGCTCGGTGGGCAGCCGGCTCCTGGGCCATGACGGGCATCTCATGCCATGTACAGACTTGGCTGCTGTGGCCAAGCATTCAGTCTGCACTGGAGCCCGTGTCAACGAAAATTCAGTTATCAAGCTAAGAAGAAACAAATAGAATTTTATTCGAGACAAACTTGGGATTGTAACCGGGGAGACAGACTCTCAGAAGTTCTGAGAACTGTGCCATGGGATGCAGTTTGACACATTTTTGATACAAAGAATCATGTATCTTATTGACAGGTTAACGTTCTACCTAAAATGTATGAGAGACATTGATGCATTTACAGGGTGAGCCTTTAGGTCCCTGTGATGCCCTGTGCAGGAGGAGAAAGAAATAGTAATCTTAAAACTTACAATGCTGGTGTCAGAAGAAAGGGACCATTTTCCCCAGAGGTTGATTACCTCTCGCTGCCCTGAGGAGGTCTGTACGGGGACGTGTTTGGGGCATGTTATACGTGTTTTGATTTTGACTTAGTTTGACTGTCCTGCTATAGAGAAATTCATTATTTTTCCTCATCGCCAGTAACAACTCAGAAGCTGTTTCACAAAAGCAGTATCGTTCTCTGCAGAAATGTACACAGTTTATGGCTCTCTCTCCTCCCTGGATAAATGGCTGTGTTGAGGGGAACGCCTCATCCCCAATTCTCTCATAAGGAATTTCTCCTCTGTTTCAGGTGTGGTGGTGAGTCGCCACTCCTGTCTCAGCCTTGACCCTCTCCTGAGCACCCACCTCCCCAAAGCCTCACCTGCAGACCCCAGCAGAGTCTTCCCACCTTGTATGCAGGACCTTCAAGGAAGTGGCTTGTTCTGCATTTCAGACCAGGTTTATGCTACCTGCGTATTCAATGTCCAAACAAATAATTGTCCCTGATAGGGAAGGGAGTATTTTTCACAATTTGTCATCATGATTCGGTAGAATAAACAAATAGTGAAGCAAATAAAAGGGCCCATGAAATTATAAGCCACATCTTCTCGCTGTCAAGTCATCAGCACTTCTTAGACTGCATTCCAGCTCATAGAACACAATAAATGCACACTGCATAATGAAAATTACATTTTAATAAGCTGTAACTGCTTAGTTGATTATTGCTTATTTTAACTATATATTAATAAATTGATAACATGCCGCTGAGAAGACTAATATCCATTATTGGTTAGCTTGTCATCAGGCAGTGCGTGTCACAGATCCTGTGACTCACCTGCGAACGGGCGCTCCCGGCAGCGGGGAGGCGGCGGCGGCCACCGCGCAGGCTCAGCAGCTGCTGGAATTGCTCAGCGGAAGTGTCACGAGGAACATGCTACGCGCACGCGCTCCCAGTTCTGCCCACAAACCGATGCCGAGTTACGAAGGGCAAGTAACAGCTTCACCGTGCAGAACCCCGGGCCCGCCGAGTCAGCCCAGTCCGGAGCCCAGGTCCCCAGCGAGGAGGAACAGGGACGGTGTGGCTGGAGGGGCGTCCGCCCCAGATAGCTGGGAAGCGGTTTGGGCAAACCTTCCCTCCTGGTGCGTCCTGCTCTCTGTCTCCCCGGAGTCCCCCCCTCATCCCCCCGGGCCCCGCTCTCATCACCAGCGTGACCAAGGCTGTAAGGAAGGCGCCCAGGGGCTCCGTTCCTGCGCTCGTAACTGTCATTAATCCAAACAGGCTTCCGTGACCCAGGAGGGTCAGCAAACCGCTGACGTGTGGGAGAGGCGCTGAGCTTGCAGTAGGTAACCTCTTTTTCGTGTTGTTAGCTTACTTTACCTGCAGCTCTTCTAATATAAACTGACTATAAATGCTGATGCTGACAAACAGTAGGCAGACTCGTTGGCAGGTGTCAGAACACCGCGCCTTCCCGTCCATCCCCACGGACTTCTCACCAAGTGCCAGAAGCTGGACCACAAAGTAAATTGTGAATCTTCTGGCCGTCCAGCTCTAAACCCGGCATCGGGCTCTCTTCACTTGTTGGCACATTTGGACAACGTGTGGAGCACAGAAGCGGGGTTCATGACAGGCAGAAACTGTTTTCTGGAAAAGCAGAAGTCACACATCTTCTGTGGGACGGCAGCGGAGACTGACATGTGGTAAAAGTGTCGCTCTGCTTCCTGTGAGAACGTCAGTGTTGAAACACGCGCTGAGGGTGATGGGCACCTGCCCACGGCGTCCTCTTGGTCAGCATGGCCTTCCAGGCTACCTCTTGTCCCTTTGCTCAGCCCAGGAGACACAATAAAGTAACCGTGATTTCAAACCTCACCACCCTGCTCTGCCTGACTCCATAGAGAAGGATAGTGACTCACATTTTTATTATCATCATTTTATACTTTTCAAATGAGCCTTGAATGTCTCTCTAAAAATCTCCCAAATTCGTCTTCATACAGGCAGAGGTGGGGAGACAGTCCTGGATTATCTAAGGGGTCCCCATATCACCATAAAGGTCCCTATGAGGGAAAGAGGGAGGCAGAGGAACTGGAGGCAAAAGAAGATGAAACTTGAAAGCAGAAGTTGGAGAGATGTGAGTATCTGGCTGGCTCTGAAGACGGGAGGGGAGAAGCCACGGGACATGGAGCCTGTGGAAGCGAAAAAGGCGACGGAACGGATTCCACCCGAAGCCCTCAGGAGGAACACAGCCTGAAGGCAAGTCGGTTTTCATCCAGGGGTTTCCAGCTTGGACTTCTGCCCTCCAGCACTGCAAGGTAGTAACTCTGGGTGGCTTTAACCCACTGGCTGGCAGTGGCTGCTCTGGCACAACAGGAAGCAAATGCACGGAATATCTGTGTGGTTTGGTGGTCATCGTTCAGCTGTTTGTTGCCAATCTCAGCTCTGCAAGCGCAGGGTTTGAATCTGTCGTGTCCAGGGATGTACCTCCAGCCAGGCAGATGGCAAATCCCCAGTAAGATTGTGTTGATGCTTAGATGAAAAGGGCTTCAGGCCAGGAGGGCAGCAGCTGATGGGTCAAGCGAGGCTTCAGATGTGGTCAGAACATGTCCAGAGGCCTGCTGCCCGCCCCAGCTCTGAGGAGAGGAGGGCTTGGCTCCAGGGGAAGGGTAGTTCCCCTTCCCGTGGGGCTGCTGACGTGACAGCCCCGTGACAGGGAGGACCAGCCTCTGAGCGGACACACCCTGTGGGTCTCCGTGCTGAGGGCACCATGTCTCCTCCATCTGCACAGCCTGCACCACAGGGAGGAGGAGCCATGACCCCCACCCTCACGGCCCTGCTCTGTCTCGGTGAGATTGAGGAGGGGAGGGCGGTCCTGGTCGGGGAGGGACCCTCCCACAGCCAGGCCTGCTCTGTCAGGAGGCCCCCGGGGCTCAGGACACTTGGGGCAGGGGAGGTTCTGCTCAGGGTTCAGGGCGACTCTCTCACAGGGACCTCTCTTCCAGGGCTGAGTGTGGGCATGAGGGCCCAGGTGCAGGCAGGTGAGTCTGTGCCCAGGTGTCCCCGCTCCCCCCTCCTTATTGTGGGGACGGGCCAGCCCCTCCCCGGGCAACGGGGGTGGGGAACAGCAGCTCTGGGCTGAAGGATGGGGAGGCTGGGGGCTGTGGGGCTGAGAGCTGGGGGATGGGGGTGGGAATGTCTTGTGACCCCAGCCTCTATTTCCTTCCAGGGACCCGCCCCAAACCCACCATCTGGGCTGAGCCAGGCTCTGTGATCCCCTGGTGGAGGCCTGTAACCATCTGGTGTCAGGGGACCCTGGGGGCCCAGGGGTTCCATCTGGATAAAGAGGGAAGCCAAAACCCCTGGGACACACAGCCTCCACTGAAGCCCGGGCACAAGGCCAAGTTCTCCATCCCACATGTGATAGAGAGGCATGCAGGGAGATACCACTGTTACTATCACAGCCTCACTGGCTGGTCAGAGCCCAGTGACCCCCTGGAGCTGGTGATGACAGGTGAGAGGACACTCAGGGGTCCCAGCCTCGGGCTCTGCCCTCAGGAAGGGGGGCTGCTCCCAGGGCCGTGCCCCTCTCACCGCCCAGCCCTGGGGGAGGTGAGGGAGCCGTGAGCCCCACTGAACAAGCGGCCCCCTTCTCTCTAGGAGCCTACAGCAAGCCCAGCCTCTCAGCCCTGCCGAGCCCCGTGGTGACCTCAGGAGGGAACGTGACCCTCCGGTGTGGCTCATGGCAGGGATTTGACAGGTTCATCCTGACTAAGGAAGGGGAAGACAAGCCCTCCGGGGCCCTGGACGCACTGTCACAGCCCAGCGGGCAGACCCAGGCCCTGTTCCCTGTGGGCCCCGTGCCCCCCAGCCCCAGGTGGACGTTCAGATGCTACGGCTGCTACAGGAGCAAACCCCAGGTGTGGTCGGCCCCCAGCGACCCCCTGGAGCTCCTGGTCTCAGGTGAGGAAGTCCCATCCTGGCCCCATATTCCTTTGGAGGCTCCAGACTGGTTATTGGGGTCCCTGCTCAGAGGAGAGACCATGTGAGAGGGTGGTGGATGGGGGCTCCTGGACCAGAGATACAGAGTGTGAGAGACAGTGAGACCTGGGGGCCAGGATGGGAGGAGAGGGTTTATGGGAGGAACGAGCCCCTACAATCCAGGGCTGGTCTTTCCCCCAGGAGTGTCTGGGAAGCCCTCCCTCCTCACCCCGCAGGGCCCTGTTGTGACTTCTGGACAGAACCTGACCCTCCAGTGTCGCTCTGATATCGGCTATGACAGATTCACTCTGTCCAAAGAGGGGGGTCAGGACCTCCCCCAGCGCCCTGGCCGGCAGCCCCAGGCTGGGCTCTCTCAAGCCGACTTTCCCCTGGGCTTGGTGAGCGGCCTCCATGGGGGCCGGTACAGATGCTACGGGGGACACAACCTCTCCTCCGAGTGGTCGGCCCCCAGCGACCCCCTGGACATCCTGGTGGCAGGTGAGGAGCCAGCGGGTCAGTCAGGGACCCAGACTCTGCACAGGCCCTGCTGGGGGAGCCCCAAGTGTGATGCTGGATCAAGGGGTGGGGACCCCGGGGAGGGAGAGGCAGGGAAAGACAGGGGGTGGGCAGGAGATGAGGGTCCTCAGAGAGACCCTGCTCACTCTCAGCTCAGAACCAGGTGGGCCGGCAGCCCCTCACCCCGTCTCTGTCTCTAGGACAGTTCCATGATACCCCCGCCCTCTCGGTGCAGCCGGGCCCCACGGTAGCCTCAGGAGAGAGTGTGACCCTGCTGTGTCAGTCAAGGCTCTCCAGAGACACCTTCCTTCTGTCTAAGGAGGGGGCAGCCCATCCCCCGCTGCGTCTTAGATCAAAGTTCCAAGGTGGGCAGTACCGGGCCGAATT